GGAAGATCTGAAGATTGTTTTAAAGGCATTAAAAAATGAAAGAAATCAAAAAACAAAAAAACCAAAAACGGCTCAAGAGGGAGTTGAGGCCTCAAAAAGGGTTTGGCGGAATTTTAAAAGGCCGAAAAAAAATTAAAAGAAACCCTGAAGACCCTGAATTGAATGGGAGGACAAAGGAGGTTTGAAAAGGGTTTGAAAGGGTTTAAAAAGGGTTTAAAAGGGCGTTTAAATGCAAAAAACAAAAAAAGAAAAGATTTTACCTGCAGTCTGCAGTAAGCCGCCACTTCGAAAGCCCCCGCGCCAGGAATTACAGCGCCGTCGTCGATGACGTTTTTGATGGCCCGCAGGCCGTCTCGAACTGCATCTTTTACCTAAAACGTTGGGAAAAAAGGGACCTTAAAGGGAAATAAATGGACCAATTGGCCAACAAATCATCTCATTAATCCGCCAATTAATAAACAATCATTTCTTGTCTTTAATCTGTAATTTATAACTCTTAATTTGCTTTTTTTGCTGGCATTTTGGGATTTTTGGCCCTTCGTCCATGATAAACTGCATCTTTTGACTAAAAAATGAAAAAAAAGAGACTCTAAATGGAAATAAATGGACCAATTGGCCAACAAATCATCCAATTAATTCTTTAATAAATATTTATTTTTAATTTCAAATCTGTAGTCTACACTTCTTAATTTGGGTTTTTCGTGGCTTTTTTGTGATTCTTTGCTCTTCACACATGATGAATTGCATCTATTTAACTTTAAAATGGAAAAAAAGAAATTATAAGTGGAAACAAATGAATTAATTGGCCAATAAATCATTAAATCAATCCACCAATTAATAATTAATCATTTCTTATTTTAAATATGCAATTCACAATTTTTAATTTGCCTTTTTTGTCATAAATTGCATCTTCAACTCTAAAACGGCAAAAATGGCACTAAAAATCTAAATACACAAGTGAACAAAACAATTAATTTAATTTAATTAATTAAATAATTAATTTAATTAATTAACTAATTATTCCTAGTTAGATTGAGTAATTAGTAAACCCCAAACCCTAAACCCCGACCCCCAACCCCCAAACCCTAAACCCCAAACCCTAAACCCTAAACCCTAAACCCTCACGCGCGCGACTGCGTGGTCGTTGGGACCCTTGATGAGGATGGTGCAGCTTCTGGGGTTTTGGACTCCGTCGATAAAAGTGAACTTGTCATCTCCGAGGGACTGTTCGTACACCTCAGCAGCAAATCCCAAATCTTCTATTCTCAAATCTTCCACAGAATTCACTGCGCTGCCTCCGCAGCAAAGCGGCACTCGCTCCATGTTCCGGCGCTTCACCTGCAGCAGCAACCCCCACTCTGCTGCTGCTGCTGCTGCTGCTGCTGCGCTGCAGCGGGGGGGGGGCACGCAGCGAGCAGCGGCAGCAGCAGCGGACGCACAGCAGCCACGTACGCTGCTGCAACCGCGACGCGCCAACGACGCACAGCAGCACACCAGCAGCAGCAGCAGCAACAGCAGCAGCAGGATCAGCAGCAGCAGCAGGATCAGCAGCAGCAGCAGGATCAGCAGCAGCAGCAGGATCAGCAGCAGCAGCAGCAGCAGCACCACCCCAGCAACAGCAGCACCACCCCAGCAGCAACAGCAGCAGCACCACCACCCCACGACCACCCCAGCAGCAGCAGCAGCAGGCGCAGCAGCAGCAGGCGCAGCAGCAGCAGCAGCAGACCCGTCTGAGGGCCATGATTCCCTCTTTGGCGAGCATGTCGAGGCTGGGGGGGTCGATTCCCTTTTGGTTGAGGAGGAGGAAGTGTCTGTTGTTCTGAGGTGTACAGACACTGCGTTTGAAGTCTATGATCTTCTGCACCTTGGCGTCTGTGAAGCTCCTTTCTGCTGCTGCCAGCTGCTGCCGCTGCTGCGCCGAAGAGTAGAAAAAGCCAGCAGCAACTTCGCTCTTTTCGTACTCCAAAGAAACATTTAAAGTCAACACGAAGCAGTTTTGCATGCGTTTGGGCATGTCGGGGTGTCTGCAGCCGTGGTCCAGCACCATGCCCTGAACACCCGCTCCGTTCCAAACCCTTTTTCGTTGTTTTTCGTCTTTTGTTTATTTATTTGTTCTTTTGTTTTTCGTTTTGCTTTTCCGAAACTTTCAAACACTTCCCACCGGATTTCGCGCTGCTTTCCTCCTGCTTTCCCGCCCGCCCGCCCGAAACACGAAATCCGGAACCCCAAACCCCAAACCCCAAACCCTAAACCCTAAACCCTAAACCCTAAACCCTAAACCCTAAACCCTCGCCTTGATGAGTTTGGTTTCGTCGACCAGCCGGTGCTTCATGTGGAGGACTTCGAGCATGAAGAGGTCCAGCGGCTCTCCCGGCCTGTACAGACACCCCATCGCCTCCACCAAGTCCTCCGCCAACTTGTCCGCCAAACTTCCTTCCACTTTTGTTCTTAAAGAAGTCCTCGCCACCGACAGCAGCAGCTCCCGGTCCGGCCGCGGCTCCACTGCGACCTTCACCTTCACCTGCAGCAGCAGCAGCAGCAGCAGCAGCAGCAGCGGCGGCGGCGGCGGTCGTAGCGGCGCCAGCAGCAGCAGCAGCAGCAGCAGCAGCAGCAGCAGCAGCAGACACTCGAGCAGCAGCAACGGCGCCACTCGTCAGGCGATCCGCAGCTACCCGAACGGCTAGCTAGCCAGCTGGCTAGCTAGCTAGCTAGCCAGAAGGCCAGCTAGCTAGCCAGCTGGCTAGCTGGCCAGCCAGAAGGCCAGCTAGCTAGCCAGCTAGCTAGCTAGCCAGCCAGCCAGCTAGCTAGCCAGCTAGCTAGCTAGCTAGCCAGCTAGCTAGAAAGCCCTCAGCGGGTTTTAATTGAAGAGCAGCAGCAAGACAGCGGCATAACTCATGAAACAGCAGCGAATGCTGCGAAGGCAGAGTAGCCCCCAGAAACGCTACAAACCCTAAACCCTAAACCCTAAACCCTAAACCCTAAACCCTAAATCCTAAACCCCAGAGGCAGCCTGTGGATGATCTTTTGAGTTGCTTGGAGAGCTGGAGGAGCCGCCCACACCATTCAATCCCTAGCATTTAATTCTTTCAACTAATTATACGTTTATTTTTATTTATTTATTTTATTTGTCTGTTTGATTTATTTATTTATTTTTTTTTTATTTTATTCATTTACTTATTACCTCATCCAGAAGCTCCAGAGTCTTCTGCCGGGCCTTATCGAAACCCGCGCACAGCAGCCGCGGGTGAACTCCCTCAGCAATAAATCTGCAAATAAATAAATAATAAATTAATAAATAAATAAATAAATGTTAATTAAATTATTGAAACAATTCACTAATTGTAATAATTAACAACTGGTGAAAAAGAGCAAAAAATTAGCTCTGGCGGCACCTCCTACGACCCACGGCCTCAAACCCTAAACCCTAAACCCTAAACCCTAAACCCTCAGTCCCCAGGCCCCCTTCCCCCGTTAGCTCCTAAACCCTAAGCCCCAAACCCCACGCCCTAAACCCCAAGCCCTCAGCGCCCAAACCCTCTCCCCGCCCCCCCCAGGCCCCCAGCCCTAAACCCTAAACCCTAAACCCTAATTTGGGGTTTGACCGTTCGGCCTGTCGGAGAAGTTCTCCGACGAAGAGGACTGCGCTGGTGGTTCCGTCTCCAGTGATCTCGTCTTGAGCTGTTGCTGCTCTTGCAATTAAAGCTGCTGTTGGATGTTGGATTTGCATTTCGTGCAGCAGCACGCACCCGTCCTTCGTCAGCTTCAGCTGCCCCGCCCCTGCAGCAGCAGCAGCAGCAGCAGCGGCAGCAGCAGCAGCAGCGGCGGGGGGAAGGGGAGAACGGCAGCGGCGGCAGCGGGAGGGGGGGGGAGGGGAGCAGCAGCAGCAGCAGGGGTTGGAAGAGCAGCAGCAGCATCGACAGGGATTGAGACAGCAGCAGGGATTGGGACAGCAGCAGCAGCAGCAGCAGCAGGCACAGCAGCAGCAGCAATGAAGTTAGTAGCCAGCTGGCGCTCTTTGCTGCTCTCTATCCGAAACCCTAAACCCCCAACCCTAAACCCTAGCTCTCCCCAAAGCCCTTTATGAATTTCTTTTTATTTTTGTTTTTCTACTTTTTCAATTTAGGAATTAAAATTGAGTGTGGGGCCCCACAGTGGAGTGTACATACACCCCAGCAGCCCCACAGGCAGCAGCAGGGCGCAGCAAAAAGGGAATCGATCCAGCTGCAGCAAATTAAATGGAACTAAACTGCTGCTGCTGCTGCTGTGTCTCCTGCTGCTGCTGCTGCAGCAAACCCACCCCCCACAAGCATCTTCACTGTGCCCTTGGGCCCCAAGTTGGACTTCAAGACATCCTGCAGCCCTTTTGCTGCGCTGCAGTTTGCTGCTAGTGCTGCAGCAGCACGCAGCACGTCGGCCTTCGCGTTCACCACCGACACGCTCATCCTGCAGCAGCAGCAGCAGCAGCAGCAGCAGCAGCAGCAGGGGTTGGGGGGATGCACGGGGAGGGGTGAGGCTGGGGCTGAAGAGCGTGTCTGCTGCCGCTGCTGCTACTGCTGCTGGATCGCTTCCTGCTGCTGCTGCTGCTACGCCGCTTGCTGCTGCTCCCGCTGCTGCTGCTGCTGCTGCTGCGGGGGGCTGTTCGTGGCGAAATCAGGTGCATGTACACATCAGCAGCCGCTGAAATGTGAAACGCCTCTCCTACTCTACTGCCTCTAATGCTGTTGCTGCTGCTGCTGCTGTTGCTACTGTTGCTGCTGCTGCACGTGCTGCTGCTGCTGCTGCTGTTGCCGCAGCAGTCATGAGACGTGGAACCACAGCTGTGTTCGGCGTCTTACTTGAAAGATTAGGGAGCCTTGGTGGGTCTATACACCTGAGGAGCAGCAGCTGCAGCAGCAGCAGCAGCAGCAGGCAGCGGCAAGGGCAGCAGCAGCAGCAGCAGCGGGCCCGGTGGTCTCCCGCTGCCCTCTTCGGGTTCCTCTATGAAATTGCCTGCAGGCAAAGCTTATATGTTGCACTTCAAAATAAATACGCTGCAGCACCTAAACCCCAAACCCTAAACCCTAAACCCTAGACCCTTGGGCCACGGCGCAGCCCCCCAGCCCCCAGAACCGCCAGCCCCAACACACTTCTTCTGCTGCTGCTGCAGCAGCAGCAGCAAAATAGAAAAGGGAAATATTTAAATTGCTTTTTGAAATCCAAGATGTGCTGCGCTGCGCAACTGGGCTGTACGTACACCTGAGGATCCGCAGCCTCCGCCCACCCGCAGCAGCAGCATTAACAGCCCTTAGCTCCTCTAAAGCTAACGCTATCAAATGGCTAGCTGGCTAGCTAGCTAGCTGTTCGCGAATTGCATTTAAAAACTGCTGCATGCAGACCGCATGCAGACACCGCGCGCAGGTCCGAGGTGTACGTACACCCGAAATGGAACTCCGCGCCCCTCAAATTTAAATCTCCGAGTCCTTGAAGACGCACGCAATAAGTGAAAATTAGCTCTCTTTGCTGCACAAGCGAGCTGGCATGCAGCAGCGGCAGCAGCAGCAGCTGCTGCTGCTGCAGCAAAAGCAGCAGCTGCAGCGGCAGCGCTGCAGCAGCAGCAAAAGCAGCAGCTGCAGCGGCAGCGCTGCAGCAGCAGCAAAAGCAGCAGCTGCAGCGCCAGCGCTGCTGCAGCAGCCGCTGCAGCAGCAGCAGCAGCTGTTGCAGCAGCACTGCGACGCCGGAGTGTACGTACACCTCAGAGCCCAACTGTCTTTTGTTTGGAGCTGCAGCAGCAGCAAAGCCTGGGGCAAAACGAGGTGTCTGTACACCTGGCTGCTGCCATTCAAAAAACTAAAATAAAGTTGAGGGCCCCAAACCCCAAACCCTACACCCTAAACCCTAGAATGGAGGAACAAGCAGCAGCCAGCCTCCTCCCCGCCTGCACCCTCTAAACCCTAAACCCTAAACCCTGAACCCTTCTACATGAAGAACCGGCCAGGGCCCCCGCCCCCAAAAGGGTCCGGCAGGGGGCCCCTGCCAAAAGGGTTTAGGGGGCCCCCCGCGAAGGGGGGCCCCCTAGACCCTGAGGCCCCCGAGGGTCCGGGGGCCCCTGGGGGCCCCGGGGGCCCCTGGGGGCCCTCAAAGGGCAGCAGCGGGGTATGGTCTGGGGCTGGGTCTGTACCCAGGGGCCCCATGGGGTCATAGCGGGCCCCTGGGGGCAGGGGGGGCCCCCCTCTGCAGCAGCAGCAGCAGCAGCAGAAGCAGCAGCAGCACACAAAGGGACGCGGGAGTGGATTTGCTGCAGCTACTGCTGCTGCTGCAGCTACTGCTGCTGCAGCTGCAGCTACTACTGCTGCTGCTGCTGCCGCTGATGGTGCAGCCACTGCTGCTGCTGCAGTCACTGACGCAGCAGATACTGCTGCTGCTGCTGCTGCACTCACGCTGCAGCCGCAACTGCTGCTGCAGCCGCTGCTGTTAGTGTGGAACTGCACCTAGGGTTTAGGGTTTAGGGTTTAGGG